GTGGAGATTCAGGGTCAGAATATGTCCCTAGTACCTCATGCTTGTCTCCCTGTGGGGATTCAGGGTCAGAATATCTCCCTAGTACCTCATGCTTGTCCCCCTGTGGGGATTCAGGGTCAGAATATCTCCCTAGTACCTCATGCTTGTCTCCCTGTGGGGATTCAGGGTCCGAATATCTCCCCAGTACCTCATGCATGTCTCCCTGTGGAGATTCAGGGTCAGAATATCTCCCTAGTACCTCATGCTTGTCTCCCTGTGGGGATTCAGGGTCATAATATCTCCCTAGTACCTCATGCTTGTCTCCCTGTGGGGATTCAGGGTCAGAATATCTCCCTAGTACCTCATGCATGTCTCCCTGTGGAGATTCAGGGTCAGAATATCTCCCTAGTACCTCATGCTTGTCTCCCTGTGGGGATTCAAGGTCAGAATATCTCCCCAGTACCTCATGCATGTCTCCCTGTTGGGATTCAGGGTCAGAATATCTCCCTAGTACCTCATGCTTGTCTCCCTGAGGGGATTCAGGGTCAGAATATCTACCTAGTACCTCATGCTTGTCTCCCTATGGTGATTCAAGGTCAGAATATCTCCCTAGTACCTCATGCTTGTCTCCCTGTGGGGATTCAGGGTCAGAATATCTCCCTAGTCCCTCATGCTTGTCTCCCTGTGGGGATTCAGGGTCAGAATATCTCCCTAGTACCTCATGCTTGTCTCCCTGTGGGGATTCAGGGTCAGAATATCTCCCTAGTACCTCATGCATGTCTCCCTGTGGAGATTCAGGGTCAGAATATCTCCCTAGTACCTCATGCTTGTCTCCCTGTGGGGATTCAAGGTCAGAATATCCCCCCAGTACCTCATGCATGTCTCCCTGTTGGGATTCAGGGTCGGAATATCTCCCTAGTACCTCATGCTTGTCTCCCTGTGGGGATTCAGGGTCAGAATATCTACCTAGTACCTCATGCTTGTCTCCCTATGGTGATTCAAGGTCAGAATATCTCCCTAGTACCTCATGCTTGTCTCCCTGTGGGGATTCAGGGTCAGAATATCTCCCTAGTACCTCATGCATGTCCCCCTGTGGTGATTCAGGCCCCTTTTGGGATTCAGGGTCAAAATATCTCCCTGGTACCTCATGCTTGTCTCCCTGTTGGGATTCAGGGTCAGAATATCTCCCCAGTACCTCATGCTTGTCTCCCTGTGGGGATTCAGGGTCAGAATATCTCCCTAGTACCTCATGCTTGTCTCCCTGTGGGGATTCAGGGTCAGAATATCTACCTAGTACCTCATGCTTGTCTCCCTGTGGGGATTCAGGGTCAGAATATCTCCCTAGTACCTCATTCGTGTCTCCCTGTGGAGATTCAGGGTCAGAATATCTCCCCAGTACCCCATGCTTGTCTCCCTACAACAATCCTCAGAACTGCATACATCTTTCCAAGGCTAAAGAGTTAACTGACTATAAAAGTCCAGTTTCCACCCTTCCTGAACAAGAGGAGAGAAGTATTCATTTTTTTTTAAATATATTGTTGAGAATATTAGATTTTTATTCGACCTGTTTGAGTTGTTTGATGATTAAACATCTCTAGATTTTCAGTAAGCTTTCGACTCCATAGAATGGGATTATATGCAGAAATGTTTGGTAAAGCTAAATTATGGGGTCAAAATGTGTCAATGGATTTCCATCATATAGGATAAACCTCCTAGTTGTGTTATTGACAATAATAAGGCAACACATTGGTTATCTTTATACAGAGGTGTCAGAAAAGGAGGCCCTTTAAGTCCATATATTTTTATAATCTGTGCTGAAATGATAAAAATTAAAGTTAGAAATAATCTGGATATTCAGGGGGTCAAAATGTGGGATTAGGAAGTGAAAAGGATTTATTTTGCAGATGATGCAAATTTGACTGTTTAGCATTTGAGCTCTGTAATTAATGGAGTTGAAGTATGTAATAACTCACAAAAAATAACAGGCCTAAAGATAAATGTGAAAAAAGAGTACTACAACATTGAGAATCTCCCTTTAGATGTTTGGGAATTCAACTTTTTGGAGATATTAGTACACTGGCAACTGAAAATCTTAGTTTAAAAAATAAAGAAAAGATTCAAGATTTGGTCATCAAGGAATTTATCACTTTTTGGAACATATTTAAAGGGGAAGGTTGTTCAAGAACAGTTTACCAAAGTAGTATGATGCAAGTGCCATCAAAATTATGTAAAAAATCGATTTTGAATTGTTAAATTTATGTGGAATTACGAAAAGAAAAAAGTGAACAAACAACAATGATAAATTCAAAGCAATGTTGTGGAGCTACGGCTTTAGAGTTTACATGTATGAGTAAAGCACTTTGTTTAGATGGATACCAAAATTCTTTTCTTCCAGCAGCTGTTGGATGTAAAGTTGGAGGACTGCCATTTTCTTTTAGATGTAATTATGATGTTATTAAGCTAAATATTTCTTTACCATCCTTTTATAAATACATGTTGAATTGCTGGGTTTAAATTGCAGAAATAAAAAATAATATTTTCAACCAAATAATATGGAACAATAACTTGGTGACAATAAATAAAATGTATATTTATAATGAATGTTGGGTAGAATCTGGAATTGTTTGTTTGTTTTGTTGTTTAATGACACAATCAGCAATAATCCAGCTATATGACGACAGTGAGCAAATAATCAAGTCTGGACCAGACAATCCAGTGATTGACATCATGAGCATCAATCCACGCAAATGGGATACGATGACATGCATCATCCACGTCAGCGAGCCTGACCAACCAATACAGTTAGTTGACTCTTACGACAAGCACAATAGCCACATTGCTGAAGACCTATTCTAACCTGGATCTTCACAGGTCGAATCTGGAATTGCAATTGTTAGAGATTTGTTGGATGATAGTGGAAGGAGAAGAACTGCAACAGGCATATATAATCTGACTATTACAAATAGATAATATTACAAGATCTGTTAAAAGATCAATAGAGTGCAGTATGTATGACCCTTATAGACAACAAATTCAGTTTTTGTTTGATGCACCTCCAGAGCTGCAGGGAAGATTATAAACGAACAAGTTGAAACAATTTTATTTAATTTTGATTGAAAAGAAAATCATTGTGCCTTATAAGTTTGTCAACTTATCACAAATGGGCAAGATATGTGCTTTGGTTTTGATCTTCCACTACCCTATAAGCTGAAGGAACTGCAGTTTAACACAATACATAACATTTTTCCTTGTGAAAAGTGGCCTTTTAAGTTCAACTTAAGTGAAACACCAGATCTTTTTTGAAACAGAAGATGCTATGATCCATTACTTTTTTAGCTGCAGTAATGTTGATAAAATGATGAAAGATTATGAAACATTCCTTAATAAGTTTACAAAACAACCTCTTTCAATAAATTCATTATTTATGGTTCAATCGATAATATTGATGCTGTATTTGAATTTCTGAACCTTCATGTAAAATATTTTATAAAGAAGTTTCATTATGCAAATATTCAGGTTTTCTGTATAAAACTATATATGGTTCAAACAATAATACTGATGCTGTATTTGAATTTCTGAACCTTCATGTAAAATATTTTATATAGAAGTTTCATTATGCAAATATTTAGGTTTTCTGTAGAAAATTATATTACTGAATTGAAACAGTCACTGATAATATATAAATAAGCAAAGAAACAATATCCCTACCTTGACAGGTTATTAACTGATCTGCACATTTTAAACAGTGTTTAATGTAAAATGTGGAAGACCAATAGTCATTGGCCATGTGGACTATGGTTATGTATATCATGATTTTGTATCATGTGAATTAAAAAAAAATTAAAATCCTGAAATCTGACTACTATAGTGAAAGCAGTTGTTATTCCCACTCTCATTGGTGTCTGCTTGAAGTAGCCCCCATCAGTACCGAACAATGTATGACATTGATGTAATGTGACATGGCCATAGTGCTTAAAATACTTTCAAGAACAGGACATTGTGTCATGGTTGTAACATGTGACACAGAGTACTCGGCAGGACACCATGTTGTAACATTGTTCAACTTGTGACTGTGACAAGGCTTTGCTATACTCAGATTACACCACTTCCACTACTATCAGAACGAAAACCCTCCTCACTCTTCCTGGTGTAAAGCTCAAGTGTTAGACAGCTGCCTGGCTTCCTATCGCAGAAGGAGGTGGGGAATTAACAAGACAAAGACATTGTTAGTTGTAAAATAAAAAATGAGAAATAATTTCTTATTGCTCTCACAACTGTCTTGCATGTTATTGTAAGGCAACATGTCAAGGACGGTTTGTTATTGAAAATGGAACACCACAAATTATCAGCATATTCACAAAACCAGAATATGTAATTGATTCACTTTTGTATGACAGTCCAGTGTCCACATTATCAGGCAGGATAGTAAGAAGACCACAGTCATAGTGTATATAACTGAAGCAGTTTAAAGTTCAACCATTTAAATGGAAATCAAAATATCCAAAGCATTCTCCAGAAGCAGGGGACATTAAGCTTACATGCTGTGATATAACTGGAATACGGTTCAAAGCAACGTTAAACCCATCTCACTAACTCACTACACCTGAAGCCATCATTTCAAAATGAAATCTGCAAAGCTGAAAACACCTGATGTTTATCTCCCTTTCACACACTTCAGAGGTCATGGGACACTGTTAACTGTGTTATGGAGGGGAAACAATGTGCTTTTGAATATGTATCTAGGGTACCAGGTTATTGGAAGTTTTCCTTTCTCTGTTTTTTTCCCCATTTTGCATTAAGATACTAGTTTGTACCATGCTACATATATCGAATGTCATAAGGGTGGCTAGAGTTGGCTATAAAGAGTTGCGTCCCTTAGTCGCACCAGACACCTATGATCATGGATTAAAACCAACTCACCCATTTGAATAAGCTGCTAAGGAGTGAGTATGGTTTAACACAGCAATATTCCAGCAATATCAGGGTGTGGGACACCAGATATAAACACACGGTACCCTTACCTTCACACTGTGGGCCCCAGTACCCTGGGCAGCACTTGCCAGAGATCTCCGTGCGATGACACAGGTGATGACAGCCTGCCAGCTGTACAATCTTGGACCCGCCGAGTGTCACGATGTACATGCAGTCGGCCATCCCCTTCCCAGTGGTCAGCTTAGTTGCATTGTACGGACACTCCACGTCCTTATTGCGGACACAAGCCATGCACTGCGTGGTAAAATTAGATGTAAAAGTTCCGTTGCAGAATCGTTCTGATGCCCCATCATGAATAATAGCAAATATCACAGCAGCCTGTATTATAACATACGTAACTCCAATATTTGTTAACAATCCCATAATTGTGGAATAATGCAACATCCAATACTTCTATTCCTTTTGCAAATCACAACCAAAGAGTTTGAGATGTAGATACAAGACCAAATGACTCGCTGCAACCTCTGACAGTGGTATCTGAGAGAAATTCCGTAACACTGTCCTGTAGTCTCTGAGTTTAAGCTGGTGAGCTTGTGTGGACAGGAAGGAAGCATGAAGGTTGAAGAGTACCCTTGTTTCTGAGTAGGATATTCTCATGTGATTATGATGTCATTAGATTCAGGGACCATTCATTACGACATGGGGGACAATCATCTATGGGGTTGGTTTGTTGTTTTACGCCGCTCTCAGCAATATTCCAGATATATCAAGGCAGTCTGTAAATAATCGAGTCTGGACCAGATAATCCAGCGATTGATATCATGAGCATTTGTGTAATTAAAAATACATTGATGGTACTGGTTTGACTTTTATTAGAGCATCACAGGAATGGTAATTGAGAAAAGGTGAGGTAAGGTGAAATGGGGTTTAACATCGCATTCAAGATTACTGCACTTATAGAGCGAGAAACATGCACGTGTGTGTGACTGCTTGTGCCAGTCCATTGAGATACCGTGCCACAGTTTAACATGGATATCCCACTACCAGGTACAGACTGGGAGCCTACAGTCCTAATGTTTTATACTTAAATGTGCCAGGCAGGGTAACAACAAATACCATCTCTTAGCAGACAGGGATAGAAACACTGATCTTTCACTCTCTGGGCAAATGCTCTATCCACTGGATCAGGAGGCGGTGCAAATAGAAGCTGCAACAACGTCATCTTATACAAGGACAAGTAAATGTTTTATGACCCAGGGTTTAGAAAGTTTTAAAGGGAGGTAACTCTGAGATGTGAACATGTTCTGAATTATAACATGTAGGTCCAAACATTGTGGGTTTTTTCATGAAAATGAATCATTAAATATTTACTTAACTAGCAATCATCAGTATTTGTTAACATTTCATTCATCCAAATACTCTACAGTGTAGCTATGTATCAATGTCTACTACCTATATTATATTTCACCAATGCCTTGCTAACTTTTTGAGAAGCATTTAGAAGTTAGAGTACTAAGTAAGGATAAAATATATGGATGAACAGCTTATTTATCAGGAGCAATGTTTCTGATGTAGGTTGTAACACCGTCATCAAGCAAGTTGAAATGTCACTCCTAATTAAAATAAAGACTTTCTTTATTCATATATCTTATCCTAAATTAATGCATTGCTATTTCATGCTTGTCATATGAGGCGACTTTTATATAAGCGGGATCGGTCGGTGAGGCTCTTTGACCTGGTTGATGCATGTCATCATGTCCTAATTGCGTAGACTGATGCTCATGATATCAATCACTGGATTTTCTGGTTCAGACTCGATCATTGACAGCTCGCAGTCATGTTACTGGGCGCAGCGTTAAACAACAATCAAACAAAAGCATTGCTATTTGGCTATAAACAACTGCACTGTATCAATACTTCCATGAATCATGACACCCATAGGACAGATGTGAATGGAAATAATCTTGTATCCATTCAAGGCTGAGTCTCTCCAACGATAGCTTACAATTGCTGTTGTAACTTGTTAATACTTTCATGAAGACTGCCTCCGTTGTCTAATGGTAGAGCGTCCACCCGGAGAGCGGAAGGTCCGGGGTTCGAGCTCCAGCTGCGTCATACCAAAAGACGTTAAAAGATGGTACTTGTTGTTACCCTGTCTGGCGCTCGGCATTAAGGGGCTAAAACAAGGACTGGTCGGCTCGGAGTCAGTATACTGTGTCTGAGTGGGGTATTCATGTTAAACTGCGGCATGTTATCTCAGTGAGCTAGCACTATAAATCGGCATCAATCCGGACTAGTACAAGCAGCCACACACACACATACACGTGCATGCATGCCGCTATATAAGTGCAATAATCTTGGACGCGACGTTAAACCCCATTTCACCTCACCTCACCTCACCTAATATTTTCAAGGCATAGCGGGAAGCCTACTCCATGGCCCTGTTTAGTGATTTTACCAGTGCTTCTTGCACCTCTTCTCACTGACAAGAGGACCTTAAAGTTACATGAAACACCTCTCTCTCTCTCCAAGGTTGAAGAAAAGGGTCATGTTTCCTACAAAAACTAGGTCATTTGGCTCAGTTTCTTTTCTTATTAATATAACTAAACACATAGTCATAAAGGCCTGGCAAATCTGTGTTTTAATACTTGTGTTTAGTAGTTTGGGTATACATTAGTTTTTATGGAAACCCTTTGTGCAAGCTCATCTGTAAAACAAAACATCTTCCAACAGGTCAATTAAATTCTTTTACACAATTTTATGCATCAATCAATCAGTGATGTTGATAGAGACTAAGAACATTTTTATGATTTAATAAACATTTCATAGGATATTTTTCAATATGATCACAAATTTTGGAAAAGTCTTTTGGACATACGTGTATTTGGATGGCAGTCAATGTCCTAGAAAATGAACCTATCTGAAACTGTGGTCAATGCCTCAATTACATACCATGAACCCACCAAAATTTCACTGGACATGTTGGATTTCCTAAATAAAATTGTATGTCTCATCCTTTCACTAAACCAAAGACGCAGATCTATACGTCTTTCACTAAACTCTAGATGTATTGAAACAGTATGTGGGATTAGGGAGCAGCCATTGATTGAATTTGGGTTTGAGATTGGCATATTGTTTTTCAATGTTTCAAAACTTAGTATTTTCACACACAGGTGTTTAATTATTGTTATTTGAAAATAAATAAAGTAATGAACTGCATCACTGTCTTCAAGAAAAAGGGGGGCGGTCGGGTAGCCTAGTGGTTAAGGCGTTCACTCGTCACGCCGAAGACCCGGGTTCGAATCCCGACATGGGTACAATGTGTGAAGCCCATTTCTGGTGTCCCCCGCCGTGATATTGCTGGAAAATTGCTAAAAGCGGCGTAAAACCAAAATTCACTCACTCAAGAAAAAGGGCACATTACATTTTTTCCCCAACAATGCGAGGCATACATCATTTTTCAGTAAAACAGGGGCTAACAGTAACACCCAGCCACACATCAACCACCCAGCCCCCGATCTGTAAATGATCAAATCTGGACCAGACAATCCAGTAATTGATATCATGAACATCAATCCACGCAATTGGGATACGATGACATGCATCGTCCAAGTCAGCGAGTCTGACCACCCGATCACGTTAGTCGCCAATTATGACAAGCATAGTCGCCTCCGCTGGCAATCAAACGTATCAGAGACCATATGCCGGTATATGGTCTCTGAACATATGCTTCCTTTAATACTTAATCCACAGGACCAGAAAATGAATAATAATAATAATAACAACAACAACAAACATAGTCAAAGAAGAGGCCGAACAACAACAACAACAACAACAACAAACATAGTCAAAGAAGAGGCCCAACAACAACAACAACAAACATAGTCAAAGAAGAGGCCGAACAACAACAACAACAAACATAGTCAAAGAAGAGGCCGAACAACAACAACAACAACAACAAAGATAGTCAAAGAAGAGGCGGAAGGCTGTTTGTTTGTTATTGTTATCAGTTACATGGTCCTATGCTTAATCACGTTATTTTTCGGTACATGGTCTCTGATATTTATTAACAGGCACCATTTATAACAGTAACAGGCACCAAGGTATAAATTGATATTGTAGTATCACCACGGGCACGGTATAACCAAAGGCTATATCTCAGGTACACATCCTTGGTACATTTACTGCCCATGGTGATACTTTGCTGAAACAAGTTGCACTGTGAAATTGTATTACCCGCCCTACGAAGTGATTCTAAAAATATGGTTTCGTATACACCTGAGAATTAGACCGGATCCATTTAATCGCAGATTGTCCCATTGTATATAAAATGATGATAATGATTTTCGTAAAGTACTGCAGTAGAGCGATTGATAACTTTATACGAAACTACACGCCATGCTGACTCTACGTGTTTTGCCTGCAGCAGACGGAACTTTGGCAATGGAAGACTCCAAGTCCAAAGGCAAAGAGGAAGAAAAGGAATTTATTTGTTCAAACTGCAACTTCAAGATGAAGTATAGCTACTACGGCGCCAAGCCCCCGTTTCTCAAATCGCTGATGTGCGTGTCTTGCCGTTTTCTTTAGCATTTTATGCTGGTTCGAATATTTTATGCATGTACACAGTTTTCGTGCACCTTTTTATCACCGAGGCCGAGAGAGAATACGTACGTTACTTTGGTGCCTAAGGTCTGTCAACTATACTATGTCTTCAATAAAGCAACACATGACGTTCATGGTTTGATTAATGCACACGCACAACCCCACTTTGTATAAACTGTAGTTATTTTGCAATGTTTCCATTCGTGTTTTATACAGACTGTTAACTGTTATGTACATTTCAGCAGTGCTAAAACATTTAAACAGATTGCTTTTAAATATAATGTTGATGTATTGATAACATGACTTTAATTGCATAACTAATTACATCACTTAAAATGCCTCAAACATACTGATGACGATTTTGTTAAAGTCACTCAAGATTTATGGTGTTGATCAATCTAGCATGTAGTTTTAGAAGATGCCTGGTGCTGTTCCACAGGCTGCTTGGTGCCCATGTCTAGACAGGGTACGGAGGTTGTGACTGTTACTTTGTGTGCTTCTGTGCAGTTAAAGGAACACTATAGTACTTGAGCATGGGTCAGGGTTTAGATGGACTCAATTCCTACCTCAAAGACTCAAGTACCCGACAAGGGGATAAAGATCACATCAAGTACATGTTGCAGACATGGAAGATAAATGGTGCATTTTAGATGCATTGTGACCGAGTTGATGCTTAGAAAAAGTAAGAAAATATTGATTGCTAGGATGTTGAGTCAGGGTTTTCGAGTTCTCCTTTTTTCTTTTTTCTTTTCCATCAGGGGGCACGGGTGGCCCAGTCGTCGAAGGCGCCGCGATTCGCTGTGCAGAGTTGCGTCCCTTGGGCACGCCAGAAATCTATGATTGTGGGTTCGAATCCCGGTTGGCCCCGATTATGTTTCTAGGTTTGTCAGCACCATACCCATGCTTGTGGGTTTCACGGAAGTGGTAAACGTCTGAGACCTGCATCACTTCGGGCTTTCCTTCCACATTAAGCTGACACGCCGTAATATAACTGGAATACCGTTAAAGGCGGCGTTAAACCAAACTCACTCACTCACTTTTACCCAGAATGAACCTAGTCTGTAGCCAATTAGGATGGTTTGGCATTTTCGTTTTGTTTTAAATCAAGATATCAAAAGGAAGTGTGTGAAATGGTGTTGAGTAGTGTGCACCTAGGGTGTTATAAGCATGCTACAGTATGGCTACTCCTGGCTATGCTAGACCTCCTCTGTGGTTCAGTAGGTGGTGCATCTGCCCGGAGCTGAAGGTCAGTAGTTCGACATTAAAAGATGGTATTTATTGTTACCCTGCCTGGTGCTTGGCATTAAGGGGATTTGGTCATCTTGGTCGACTTGGAGTCAGTATTCTGTTTCTGAATGTGATATCTGTATTAAACTGTGACATGGTATCTCAGGGGGCTAGCACTAAAAAAACGGAATTAGTCCAGGCGACCACAAGGACCTGCATGTGCACACCCACACCACATCATGCTGCACATCTTATTTGCATTGGTGAAGTAATCAGGGCTCTTCTTATCTTGTTGGTTGGTTGGTTTGTTGTTTTACGCCGCACTCAGCAATATTCCAGCTATATGACGGCGGTCTGTAAATAATCGAGCCTGGACCAGACAATCCAGTGATTAATATCATGAGCATCGATCCGCGCAATTGGGATCGATGATATGCATCAACCAAGTCAGCGAGCCTGACCACCTGATCCCGTTAGTCGCCTTCTACGACAAGCATAGTCACCTTTTACGGCAAGCATGGGTTGCTGAAGACCTATTCTACCCCGGAATCTTCACGGGTCCTTCTTACCTGAATTTGTGCCTTATAACTACTTGAGGTATCTTTAACTCTGCTTCTTTCATGGAACAAAGTGATAAATCTGATTTCATAATACTATTTGAACAATCACAAATTAACTAGTCATGTCAAAACGAAAATGGCTTTTAGCAATCACCTCGTCAGCCTTGCAATGGGCACCATGAGAAACTGGCACAAAAACAACACAAATCTAAGTTCTGATATCACTGTATAAACTGTATGTATAGATCCTTGGAGCAGGTGTGTCGTCACACTCCAATGAAGGTGCTCGTGATGTTTTTAAAATTTTCATGGATGATTATCAGTTCTCCCTTTTTTTTGGGGTGGTGAGGTAGCCTAGTGGTTAAAGCATTCGCTTGTCACGCCTAAGGCCCGGGTTCGATTCCCCACATGGATACAATGAGTGAAGCCCATTCCAGTTGGCCCCTGCTGTGATATTGCTGGAATAGTGATAAAAACGGCATAAAACCATACTCACTCACTCACTCTCTTTTTGTGTTTGAATAACAGCTTGTTGGAGGAGGCATATGTGATGAAGGATCCGTTCAGTACCGAGGGAAGCCTCATCACCCTGGGAGCTCACTGTTCACTGTGTAACAAGCCAGTCTGCATCGCTGCTGTAAGTGAGGGGGGACTCAGGGGTTTCAGGGGCATGTTTGTCTTACAATGCAACTAAATGGATCACATGGTCAGGTTCAGTGAGTCTTTGAATTTTTGTCATCATATGTTTCTTGAACGTGTTGAAAAGGTCCTGGTACCTGAGACTCTCTCAAGCTATGAATATTAAGTACATTTTACTCCCGCAACATACTATTTTTCAGTTAATCAGAATAAAATTCAGAGGGTTTATTTTATGATTGATCACCTGTTTCACTCTCTTTCAAAGTCAAGGTCATTATCTGGATGCTTTACTTGTTACCATAGTTACATGTTTCTTGGATTATCCATTCATAAAATGTGGATATTGATCAAAATTTGATTTTTTTAATGTTCTTATTTTAATTATGATTATCATTTACTGCTTGGGGCTAAAATAAATAAATATCAGCCTTGGATCTGAAGGCCCCTTTCTTGGTGTCCCCTTGCCTTGATGTCCCCTGCCTTGATGTGGCTGGAATATTGCTTAAAGCCTCATTAAATTTAACTTACTAATATCTGAAGCCTGTACCACTTTGGGCTCTCCCTCCTCCCTCCCTCCTTCCCTCCCTCCCTCTCTCCCTCAGTGTCCCAGAATAAGAATGAGTCAGTGTCCTATATTTTGACCTAATCAGTGTCCTGGAATATGACCCAGTCTTAGTTGACTTTTTTCCAGGCTTATCATACCTTGAATTTGGATGAATTTTGACAGTTTATTTTTGTATAAAGATTGATGGTATCATGTAATGAGTTACTCTCTAGTTATTTTTAGTTATTGATCTTTTTCTTTTTTTATTGTTCATGCTTGAAAGAATAGATTCCTTTTAAAGGAGTTAATATCATTTGGGTGTCCTATTCTTCCCCATACATATTTGTATGGAATTCAACCCAAGCAATGTAAACAACAAAAATAACTGAAAAGCAGATGTGCTACATTGTCCTGTATCTCTATTCACAGGATTGCAGTTTATTCTTCACCAAGAGGTTCTGTTTGGGGTGTGTGGCGGATCATCTCGATGAGTTTCCCAAGGAAATAAAACTGGTAGGAAGCCATGTTTTCATGTTAAATGTTATCTCCCTTACGATCCTTGATCTCTCAGCAGCAGAAGTTTCTTTAAAGAACAAATTGAAAGGCACAAGAAGGTATTTGGAATATAATTTTTGTCAGTTCTGTGTAGGGCAGGGTAGCGGTCAAAATGTTCACTCAATGTGCTGATGACATATTGGTTCAATTTCAACGTGTGTACCGCCTCTGTGGTCCAGTGAGTTGTTCGATCCCAAGTCGCCTCTTTCCAAAAGATCTTAAAAAATGGTACTTGTTGTTACCCTGCACGACATACACATGCACTCGTGCTAGCATATTAGCTACCTATCTAGCTATATAAGTGAAATAATCTTGAATGAGACATTAAACACCATGTCACCTCACATCAACCCAATGTGTGTGAAATCCATTATTGGTGTCTACCAGTGATTTTCTGGGGCGGTCGGGTAGCCTAGTGGTTAAAGCGTTCGTTGTCACGCCGAAGACCAGGGTTCGATTCTGACATGGGTACAATGTGTTAAGCCCATTTCTGGTGTCCCCTGCCGTGATATTGCTGGAATATTGCTAAAAGCGGCGTAAAACCATACTCACTCACTCACCAGTGATTTTCTGAAATGAAAAGCTGAAACAAAATAAATGACCACAAGTTAATAAAAGTTTGAAAACTCTGAGATGAGATTCTATGTATCATCCAAGATCATTCTTCCATCATCTTCAGCTTGTGTCCTACATGTAAAAATGTTTATTACATGCCCATGAAGCGATCACACGTTTAATAAACCCACAGCTGTATTGCATATTGTGTAATACCAAAACTCGTGTTTATGTACTCTCAGAACACATTTCACGAACAAATATTGAAAGCTCTCAACATCCCTTGGCTTATTCAACAACATTAAGTGTGGAGATGATAGATCACTGAGAGGAGCTTATGCACACATGATAACCCCAGCAACCTTGTTGCTAGGCTGACGTCACATGGCATTGTTTCGCCGATGGATCTTGCAACAAAATTTCACAAATTACGGTGCAAGGCCCCGTACCACAAAGCAATCGTATTGTAGTGCAACAACAGTCGTAGTCTAAGTTAAAGTATGTGAGTTACGATAACCTTAGCACTACGATAATTTTGTTGAACGGGCGCCTGAATTCTAAAGGTGGACCGTTGTATGGTATTAAATTCATACTTTTCAACTTTTGACGTGTTTGAAGTATTATTCTGTTAAACTCAATTGGATTATGCCGTGGATCGTGTAGGTGTCAGCCTATTCACACTCAACAGTATAATTCTAAAAACATTATAAACTAATATATACTAAACTAAATTATATACTAAACTCGCTCCCGTTTAAAACCAATTTTATTAAACTCGTGGATAGTTGTGGTATCTGACTTGCTTTCGCTCATCAGATAACAGTACTATTTACTCGTTTCATAAAATTGGTTTTACACGGTGCTCGTTTAGTATTCAATATAAAGATAACCAGCTTCAGTGGCAGGGAGATTGGTGATGTCATGTGATTGTGACATCATCGTAACCGATGACATCACAATGGTCTTCAACATAATGAAAGCATTGTGATACAATTTCATTGCAATGTTATCTCCCCTAGGAAGGATGCTTGATCTCACCCAATCGATATCTCCAATGGAGACCAGTTTGGGATTATAAAATTTAATTACACTTTTTATTTTTTTTATTTCCAGGATTATCTTGTGTATCACAATGTCATGTTCATATCTTCATTTCCCATGTGTATGAACAGTTTACATACATTTACCACTGGCTTCATGGAAGAACATGTTTGTTTAAAAACAAAAGTTTCAAAGTGTGACCTTTAGGAAATGGGAACTTGTTCTGATGATGATATTCTAATTTTTAACTCTATTACAAGGAATATCAAACCGTGTCAAATAGTCCTAGAAACAGCATAGTGTGTGTGAAAAGAGAATTGACGAACAATTCTTTCCCCCCTCCCTGGAGTGACAGTATTTGGAGTTATCCCCCTTTGACCATGCTGATTTTGTTGTGTAACTTTGTTAAATTCATGTTAATGTTTAGATTCATTTTCTCACTCATAACAAAATGTGTCACAAACAATCAGAGCTAATTGATTGTCTGTTGTTTTTGACATTGAAATAACATCTCCTTGTATTTTTGTGTTATTTGAATCACAACCATTAATAACCTAAAAGGATCTAGTTTACAGTTGCCATACTCCTTAAATGCTACCTAAACAATATACCAGAATAATATGTATCAAACATAAAACAAATAATAAATTGTGAACATACTATCTTGTTGGATAAACTTGTATTACTGTCCTCTGTGTGAGCTTCTGTTTTAAGGAATGTAGTATGGATACACATTCACTATTGCATTTTATGTGTATATAGGAAGTAATACCCTGAAAATATATGGAAAAACATAAGAAAAGTAATAACTTTGAAAATTGAAATTAGGTTGAACAATTTGTACCAAATAATAATAAGGTATACAAGAGTTATTTCCCTTTGACCATACATGTTGCTCAATTCAATCAATATAATGCTATTGGTTACACTCAACCAAATGTTGTCCTATAGACTTCTATGGTAACATTATACAGTGATTCCTCGCTATGACGCTACCTTGGGCGTCCAAGTAATTGATAGGTGTTACAGACAATGAAAGGTTTAGCGGAGGTGGAGTTGTAGCGGGTAGGTGGCCAACACAACACTACATGCTGGTCCTGCGTACCTAACACATTCTATGCTGCATGTTTCAGAGTTTGAAATTTTGTTAGAATATACATGTAGTAGTTGTTTATGATTCATAGTAAAAAAATATGTATCACATGTTATGCTCATAAAAAGCACACAGTATCTCTTCAGCGAATTCAGGTGAATGAATAAATTTGGTCAATAAACATTTTTAAAAAAAATGAAAATATCTGTGGTCACATTCAGCATTAGTCATCATGTTAGAAAATACAGCACTAAATATTGAATAACATGGTCAGTTTTGCTTACTGGATGGATGTACATTAACAACATACAAATGTCACACAGTATCATCCAATCACAGCTGCACACTCTATCTTCTCTATGAAAGCGGATGATTCTGATTTCATGTAGTAGAACCGGTTATGTGGCTGCAAGATATTTTTTTAAGTAAAAATGATCCAATTTCTCTTGTGAACATAATCATTTTAGAAGTTACTAAAGATGTAACAGAATGACGATGGTGTTGGACTAGGGGAGGGAGGGAATGTATTCTTACACCCTTGTCAGCAATATTCCAGCTTCAGTATTGTAAGTCTGAAATAATCACCCCGAGACAAGGCACATTTCGTCAATGTTGGCACACATTCAGCCAGGTCGGTATGTTAACCTCCTTGAGTGATGATCCAAGCCATTGCCCCATGAAATCATGGAAACAGCCACGTCACAGACATCACTTTAGTCAGCTCTTATGACTGGCATTGAATACCAAGATCCTATTCTTTTGCAAGGATGATGTGTTTGGGAGGAAGGAGACAGGTGCCCCTTCTTCTGTAATCATCCCTCAGTCCCCATCTCTGTGATGTGAAGCACAACTTCTGTAATCATCCCTCAGTCCCCATCTCTGTGATATGAAGCACAGCTTCTGTAACCATCCCTCAGTCCCCATCTCTGTGATGTGAAGCACAACTTCTGTAACCATCCCTCAGTCCCCATCTCTGTGATATGAAGCACAACTTCTGTAACCATCCCTCAGTCCCCATCTCTGTGATATGAAGCACAACTTCTTTAACCAGCCCTCAGTCCCCATCTCTGTGATATGAAGCACAACTTCTGTAACCATCCCTCAGTCCACATCTCTGTGATATGAAGCACAACTTCTGTAACCAGCCCTCAGTCCCCATCTCTGTGATATGAAGCACAACTTCTGTAACCAGCCCTCAGTCCCCATCTCTGTGATATGAAGCACAACTTCTGTAACTAGCCCTCATTCCCCATCTCTGTGATATGAAGCACAACTTCTGTAACCATCCCTCAGTCCCCATCTCTGTGATATGAAGCACAACTTCTGTAACCATCCCTCAGTCCCCATCTCTGTGATATGAAGCACAACTTTTGTAACCATCCCTCAGTCCCCATCTCTGTGATATGAAGCACAACTTCTGTAACCATCCCTCAGTCCCCATCTCTGTGATATGAAGCACAACTTCTGTAACCATCCCTCAGTCCCCATCTCTGTGATATGAAGCACAACTTCTGTAACTAGCCCTCAGTCCCCATCTCTGTGATATGAAGCACAACTTCTGTAACCATCCCTCAGTCCCCATCTCTGTGATATGAAGCACAACTTCTGTAACTAGCCCTCAGTCCCCATCTCTGTGATATGAAGCACAACTTCTGTAACCATCCCTCAGTCCCCATCTCTGTGATATGAAGCACAACTTCTGTAACCATCCCTCAGTCCCCATCTCTGTGATATGAAGCACAACTTCTGTAACCATCCCTCAGTCCCCATCTCTGTGATATGAAGCACAACTTTTGTAACCATCCCTCAGTCCCCATCTCTGTGATATGAAGCACAACTTCTGTAACCATCCCTCAGTCCCCATCTCTGTGATGTGAGGCACAACTTCTGTAACCATCCCTCAGTCCCCATCTCTGTGATATGAAGCACAACTTCTGTAACTAGCCCTCAGTCCCCATCTCTGTGATGTGAGGCACAACTTCTGTAACCATCCCTCAGTCCCCATCTCTGTGATATGAAGCACAACTTCTGTAACTAGCCCTCAGTCCCAATCTCTGTGATATGACGTACAACTTCTGTAACCATCCCTCAGTCCCCATCTCTGTGATATGAAGCACAACTTCTGTAACTAGCCCTCAGTCCCAATCTCTGTGATATGACGTACAACTTCTGTAACCATCCCTCAGTCCCCATCTCTGTGATGTGAGGCACAACTTCTGTAACCATCCCTCAGTCCCCATCTCTGTGATATGAAGCACAACTTCTGTAA